ATGACGCCGGCATGTTCTCTTCCATCCAGGCTTTACGAAGGCAAAGAGCAGACGGAGTTTGAAGAATCCATGAGACGCCTCTTTGAGTCCATCAACAACCTGATGAAGAGCCAGCACAAAACCACCATCCTTTTACAGGTGCGTCTCCCCTGGGCCTCCCCCGGCCCGCGGCATGCTGGGAACACGTCTGCCTTCCCTGGGATTGGTTACACAGTCTGGAGCAGCCGAGGCCTGGCCTGCCTCCGGGGGGGATGGGAGGACTCGGAAGGAGGAGACATACTTCTCCTTTTCTCGGTCGTGGGGCTTGAACTCAGGGCCTGGGCGTGTCCAGAGGCTAGCACTCTGCCACTTTCAGCCACAGCTCCACTGTTGGTCTTCTGGTGTTTAACTGGAGGTAAGAGTCTCACAGAGTTTCCTGCCCGGGCTGGCTTTAAAACAGGATCCTCAGCTGTCAGCCTCCTGAGCAGCTGGGATGACAGGCGTGAGCCATGGTGCCCGGCTGAGACATGTTATTTGCTCTCCATGGAATGGCAGTGCCTTCTTTCACATGACCTCTGAAGGGCTTGTGGAGGTCAAAACCGCCCGACTGATGAAGGCAGGTGTCTAAACGGGTTCCTGTGTAACACTTACTCTCACCGCCACAACTTGGGTCCCCTTTGGACCGAGAGAGTCTCTTGTTAGACTAGAGGTAGTTGGGAGAGAGGGTTGTCTAGTGTAGCCGTCCACAGAGCCGTCTGCAGACGGTGCAAGGAGTGAGCCTCCCTCCACGCTGTCCCTGCGTGGAGACCGGTTAGCAGTGGAGTTGGAACGAAGCCGCTGTTCTGGGAAGACGTTCAGAATGTCACCCAGCACCGAGGTAGGTGTTCCTGAGGGCTCCAGACACCACCTTTGAAGAGGACTGTGCTGCAATCACTACCCCTGAAGAGGACTGTGCTGCAATCACTACCCCTGAAGAGGACTGTGCTGCAACCACTACCCCTGAAGAGGACTGTGCTCCAACCACTACCCCTGAAGAGGACTGTGCTCCAACCACTACCCCTGAAGAGGACTGTGCTGTAATCACTACCCCTGAAGAGGACTGTGCTCCAACCACTACCCCTGAAGAGGACTGTGCTGTAATCACTACCCCTGAAGAGGACTGTGCTGCAATCACTACCCCTGAAGAGGACTGTGCTGCAATCACTACCCCTGAAGAGGACTGTGCTCCAACCACTACCCCTGAAGAGGACTGTGCTCCAACCACTACCCCTGAAGAGGACTGTGCTGTAATCACTACCCCTGAAGAGGACTGTGCTCCAACCACTACCCCTGAAGAGGACTGTGCTGTAATCACTACCCCTGAAGAGGACTGTGCTGCAATCACTACCCCTGAAGAGGACTGTGCTGCAATCACTACCCCTGAAGAGGACTGTGCTGCAATCACTACCCCTGAAGAGGACTGTGCTGCAATCACTACCCCTGAAGAGGACTGTGCTGTAATCACTACCCCTGAAGAGGACTGTGCTGCAATCACTACCCCTGAAGAGGACTGTGCTGCAATCACTACCCCTGAAGAGGACTGTGCTGCAATCACTACCCCTGAAGAGGACTGTGCTACAATCACTACCCCTGAAGAGGACTGTGCTGTAATCACTACCCCTGAAGAGGACTGTGCTGTAACCACTACCCCTGAAGAGGACTGTGCTGCAACCACTACCCCTGAAGAGGACTGTGCTGCAATCACTACCCCTGAAGAGGACTGTGCTGTAATCACTACCCCTGAAGAGGACTGTGCTCCAACCACTACCCCTGAAGAGGACTGTGCTGCAGCCGCACCCCCCTCTCCCCCCTCCCGGCCCCTGGGTCTCTGCACAGTCCCCGGGCACTGGCTGTCCTGGGACACGCTTAGTTGGGACTGCAACCTTACAGTTCCGGCGTAAGGAAAGCCTTTCCCCCTTTCCCGTACGGTGCTCCCTACCACTGTGTAAGGAGAGCTACCTGGAGCCACGCCCGGTCTCCACCGCACTGGGGACACCTGGGCCTGCTCCAGCCCTGCCTGGCGCCACGGGGCTGTAGGGTGGGTGGGACGCACTGAGGTTGACCAGTTGCCGAGAGAGAGGCCCCAAGGCCGGCACAGTTGGAGAAGCAGAAATGGAGAACAGAGGGGAAGGAGGCAGCTGGTGGTAGGTGCGGGACGAGGTGGGGAAAGGAGCAGAAATGCGGAGGGGGCGCCGCCACGCAGAAGGTCCAGGGGCGGGCAGGGGAGCGCCATCTCAGAGCTACTTGGAGTTCCCCGGCTGCTTTGCTGTGTGGACAGGAATCCGGGGAGGGGAGGGGTGGAGAGACAGGAAGGTAGAGGGAGGAGGGGGAGGAGCAGTTCCAGGGTCAGCACGGTGCCCCCACAGCTGCAGGATATTACGCTTCCTCTGACCTCACCTGGAGGGAGGCCCGGAGCGGAGGCAGGCAGGCTCCCAGCGAGGCTGAGGCCCCCAGTGAGGCTGAGGCCCTGTGGCCGGGCTGAGGCCCCGGGAGGCTGAGGCCCTGTGGCCGGGCTGAGGCCCCCAGCGAGGCTGAGGCCCTGTGGCCGGGCTGAGGCCCCCAGCGAGGCTGAGGCCCCCAGCGAGGCTGAGGCCCTGTGGCCGGGCTGAGGCCCCGGGAGGCTGAGGCCCTGTGGCCGGCTTCTTGCTGCCTGGCGGACAGCGTTCTTCCTGCCGGCCTCACCCCGATGATGCCGCTCACGTCTCCTGGATTTCCATCCCGGAGCCTCCGAAAGGGTTTCATCTCCCGAGTAATTCGCTCTAAGGACCGAATTTAGCGTGGGGATTTACATAAAGCCCAGGGTGCGCTCTGCACCGATGTGCACGCTTGTTGCCAAGTTGTGGGGAAGGGATTCACAGGCAGGTGTTTCTCATTTGTGCAGCCGGGCTCGCTCTCGGAGGACGCCGGGACGGGGTGGGGGGAGGTCCGGGTCAGGAGAGGTGAGCATGCGGAGGGCCGTCCGCGCACCCCGGACTCGACGCGGGCCTGAGCCCGGGGGCTGAGCCGGGCCCCCTCTCAGGGGCCTGGGCCTGGTCATTTCTGCCTCCTGGGCCTTGGTTCACCCTTTGGCCCACGTGGAATTAGAGGACGAGAAGTAGTTCAAGCAGTATCGGAAATGCACGGAGGCCTGACTTCATTTATCCAAGTAAGCGTGCGCCCCTTCCCCCTCCCTGCGACACAAGGCTTGGGGGCTAGGGGTCATTTGCGGTCCTAACCATGGGGGGCAGGGGGTGGGGGCTGTGTGGGGCGGGAGAGCGCAGCAGCCGGGATCTGCTGGTCAGGCCTCCGCGGCTGGCGTGGGGGAGGGACACGGGGGGGGGCAGGCATTTCTGCTTCCCCGGAGCCTCCCACGGGTGGCAGGTCACCGGAAGCCCTCCCCGGCGTCCTCCTGGTGAGTTCTGAGGGGAGCAGGTCAGGTTCAAGTCTCAGCCCGGCCCGGTGTGGGAGTGAGCTGTTTTTCTGACTTCTGAGGCCCAGCAGGCCTTGTGAAGAGCCTCCCGCGGCTCCCTTTATTGCTGGGTCTTGGTGGAGAGCTGACAGCCAGTAGTTCAAAGAGGGTGGGAAGAGCAGCTCTGGGCTCGGCTCGGCTCCCCTGCGCGGCCGGGGCTCCGGGAGTCTGCCTGAGGCAGCACACTGGCTCCGATTCCACCTGCCCAGCCGGGGGGGGGGGGGTGCTGCCCCGACCTCGAGTCCACCCAGGCCTCTTACCTCCTGGTCAGCGCTCTTTATGCCCCAGGAGTGGATGGAGTTGTGGTCAGAAGAGCTCTGGGCACCGATGAGGCCCACGGCAGACACGTGTGAGCTTGCGGCAGACGGACGGTGGCCCTGCACCGACGGCCCTGTGCCAGTCTCTGCAAGACCCCCGTGTTTCACAAATGCCCCCGCGGGATGGCACGGTCGGCTTAAAGGAGCACCCAGGCCGCCTCCCCTGACCACCGCCCGTCTGCTAACAGCACTGCATGTCCCCGAGGACAGGACTCTCCGGCGAGGCCGACACCTGCCGGCGCTATCTGCACGGAGGAAGGAGGAATACGCGCGTCCCTGTTCGGGGGTGCTGGAGGGTTTTCCTTTCCCGCTGTTGTGTGGGTTTCCTCTTTGGACAAGAGCAGCTCCGTGGTCAGGAAGAGAGAGGGCTCCCCACGCCCCACTTCCAGCCGGCCCCGCGTGCAGCCGTTCCCGCCCCTTCCTCGGCACCAGTGTTGCTGCTTCTCCTTGGTTTCGGGATGAAGATGCTCCCTGACCAACTGGGAGAGGAAGCCCCCGGTGCCGGAGCTGCCCGGAGCGCCGCCGTGTGCCACGGTTCCTTGCTACCTGTCACGGGAAGTTCTGCACCTCACACACGGCACGCCGGCTTGCTTCTGCCTTTGTCTTGACCGGCCATTCCCCATTACTCCTGCCACCCTCCTTCCCTGGCAGCGGACCTGCCCCGTCCCAATAGGGCCCAGGGAACGGCTCCAGGAAGGTGTGTTTTCTCAGATCATCTGGATTGGAATGAATAATGAATAGATCTGTAGGCACGAAATCCAATAGCTATAAAGAAAAGGTCTGACACATTTGACAGCTTGCAAATTAAAACCTTTCTGCACAAGGAAGGAGAGAGATGATACACAGAGCCAGAGCCACAAGACACAGCGGAGGAAGCAGAGGAAATCCTTCCAAAACGCGCTCCTGCAAGAGGGTGAACGTGGGTGCTGCCAAGAAAACTTCACAAAGCAGCGAGGAAAAAAATCACCGAAAAGAACAACGGGGGAAAAATATACGAACAAACGACAGGGAAAGCAACCCAAGAGCTGCGAAATATAGTTGCGAGTTTTTCATTTAAAAAGACTGTGTTTCATGCACATAGATCGCGGTATGGGGGAACCACAGTGGGCCAAGGTGAATTTGCTGTTGTGGTTGTTGTCGGTCCTAGAGCTTGAACTCTGGGCCTGGGTGCTGTCCCTCAGCTCTTCAGCTCAAGGCAAATACTCTACCATTGAGCCGTTTCTGGTTTTCTGATGGTTTATTGGAGATGAGAGTCTCACGGACTTTCCTCTCATGTTGGCTTTGAACCACGATCTTCAGAACTCAGCCTCCTGAGTAGCTGGGATTACAGGTGTGAGCCACTGGCACCCAGCTACAAAGATGAGTTTGTTATGGCTTCCTGTAAGGTCATCTGATCAGATCAGCTAAAATGTCTGTCCATCTTGGGCTAACAGAGCAGCTCACCCTACAGAGAACCTTATAGTTACACACACATAAACCACACAAACGTCTTTCTTCTGCTTGCTTTCTAATCAGGAAACTCTCTCTCTCTCTCTGTGTCTCTATCTCCTTCTGTCTCTGTCTCTCTGTCTGTCTCTCTCTTTGTCTCTCTGTCTCTGTCTCTTTGTCTCTCTCTGTCTCTCTGTTTCTCTCTGTTTCTGTCTGTCTCTGTCTCTCTGTCTCTGTCTCTGTCTCTGTCTCTGTCTCTGTCTCTCTCTTTGTCTCTCTCTGTCTCTGTCTCTCTGTCTCTCTGTCTCTGTCTCTGTCTCTCTGTCTCTGTCTCTCTGTCTCTCTGTCTCTGTCTCTGTCTCTCTGTCTCTGTCTCTGTCTCTCTGTCTCTGTCTCTGTCTCTGTCTCTCTGTCTCTCTGTCTCTGTCTCTGTCTCTCTGTCTCTGTCTCTCTGTCTCTGTCTCTCTGTCTCTCTGTCTCTGTCTCTGTCTCTCTGTCTCTGTCTCTCTCTGTCTCTCTGTCTCTGTCTGTTGTAGTGCTGGGGTTTGAATGGCTCACCTTCATGCTTGCTAGGCAGGTGCTCTACCCCTCAAGACCCCCTGCCTGTCCCACACTGACCTGGACTGCAGTCCTCCTGTTTGCGTGTCCTTTGGCACTGGGCTGGCAGGATCCCATCACTGCGCCCAGCGGTGGCTGAGGCAGGGTCTTCTGGGCTTTTCTGCCCAGGCTGGCCTCCCCCTGTGATGTCTGCCCCCTCAGAATCTAGGATGAGGAATCACCAGCCTGGCATTTCCATTCTGACACATTATTGGCGTAACTTTCTTTGATATCAAACACATTATTATGTGGACATTTGGGAATCATAATGAGAGGAAAGAGGGGGCGAATTCAGGAAAAGTAGTTTTTGAGCGAGGCTGTCATCGGATCCAGGGCCTTGGGGCTGGGGCTCGGAGAGCCGCGGCCCGGTTGGTCTGTGCGCTGGTTACCGTGTTCTCGAGACTGAGGTTCTTAATCTAGAAAAGCATTTCCCCTGCAGGCAGTAATGAAGCAGATAATCTATTAACGGTGTTCAGCGTGCCGTCTGCTCATTCTCAGAAAACAGTCCTAATCGTTTTTCACTAGGAAGCTTAGTTGGGTATGGCTAGCACAACTAAGATATTCCGGAAGAAAGAAGTGTTATTTGTGTCTGGTTGCTAAGAGACAATAGCTCTAGTTACCTGGAACATGGAGAAAGGAAAAGAATAAAAATCACCAAGTCAACCAGACCCCGGTAGTTCACGCCTGCAATCCTAGCTACTCAGGAGGCTGAGATCTGAGGATCATGGATCATAGCCAGCCTGGGCAGGAAAGTCCATGAGACCTTTATCTCCAATAAACTGCTCAAAAAACAGCCAATGGGGACCTTCGTCTCCCCATTCTGCAGACATGAACTCCAAGGCTGTCTGGACTAAGCCGGTGGCTGAGAAGACATGGAGACAGACTTTGAGTGTGGACATACACCGTGTCCAGGCTGTGGCCACGCTGCCCGGCCTGCGGCCCCCTCGAGGGTGGAGGTCGAGCCGGGCGCTCCCTGGTCTTGCGCCGTTCCGGGGTGTCGGGGCCTCAGGCGGGGCTCCGTGACCTGAGCTGGCCATAAGCCGTGTGGCCATCACCTCACTGTGTCTTTCACGTCCCACGCAGGTGGCGGCTTTGAAATACATCCCGTCCGTCCTGCACGACGTGGAGACGGTCTTCGACGCGAAGTTGCTCAGGTGAGAACCACTCACACCTCCTCCAGCTGCTTGTCCTGTGAGGGAGTCGGGGCGCGGGCCCGGGGACAGGGATGGGCCCAGGGACAGGGACAGGCCCAGGGACGGGCCCGGGGACAGGGAAAGGGACAGGCCCAGGGACAGGGACAGGCCCAGGGACTTGCCCAGGGACAGGCCAGCCCGGGGAGGACACACCAGGGGAGCCGCCTGTAGTTGCACGGTGAGTTTTGTTGGGCCATTTTGGTAACTTCTGGGAGAGCCGGTGCCGTGGGAGTAAGAGGTCTTGAGTCCCGTATACGCACGCCATCTTGTCCTTACATTTCCTGAAGGTCTCAGATGACACGAATAGAAGAGTTTGTTTAGGAGCCACCTTTTTTCACTGAAATGCTTTGAGGATCAGAGGATAGTCGCCAAGATGGTATTGAGAGAGCTCCTGCTGCCCCTACCAGCCCCGACCCCATCCCCCGAGAGCTCCCAGAAGACACACATTCTCCCGAACGTCAGCGTGAATCTATGTGTTTACAAGCTGAATCTTTAAAGACACAGACCCACACATGCATTTAGACACCTATAAAGACATGGACCACACACACACATATATATATATATATTTATACACATATAAAGACACACAATGCATATATGTTTACACATTAGTAAAGCCACAGGCCACATATACATTTATACACACATAAAGACGCAGATCAGGTAGCCGTGCATACGTGTGTGCAGACGCAGACCTTGTGTTGTTTTCATATGAGCAGCGGGGCCCTGGGGCACAGTCAGTGCCAGGGTCGTTGGCTGTCATTCCCCTTCAGGTGTGCACGTCTCAGTCCTGTTACTATTCAGCGCCGCAGCGCGTCCGCGTGTCTTCTGAGGCTCAGTATGGGCCTGATGCTGCCAGGATGGGGGCTGGGGCCCAGGGGGACCAGCCCAGGCCCGGCGGGGTGGCGGGTGGCTGGTGGGTGCGACTGCTCCCTCCCTCCCCTCAGCCAGCTCCTGTACGAGTTCTACACCTGCATTCCTCCCGTGAAGCTGCAGAAGCAGAAGGTGCAGTCCCTGAGCGAGGTCGTCCAGAGCAACCTGTTCAAGAAGCAAGGTGAGCGCCGCCGGCCGTGCAGGGCGGCTCGGGGTGTCTGCGGATGGGGCGGGGGGGGGGGGGGTGCCTGGCCCGGCGAGGCCCCTGGACAGGCCGCGCCCCTCCACGGGCCTGGGGCCGTTAGACATCAGCCTGGACTCTCACGTGAGGAACGCTTCCGTTTATTCTCCTTGAGAACGTGTGGGGCGGTGGTGAGTTAGGCGCCAGGCACGTGGTGGAGTGGTGTGTTTTTCTACCCCCCCCCCCCCCCCGCCCCGTGCTTTACCATCTCTGTTCTCAGCCGGAAGGGATGTGACTGAAGGTTCCTTTCGTTCCCAGCCTTTCTCTGCAAAGTCGTGCAGATTTAGAGTGTGAGAATAAACCCAAGAGCTTTTCACAGCGCAGCTTTCTGGGCCACAGTTAGACGTGCGGGTGGAGGAAGCGTCAGCGGGGTGATCTTAGCAAATGGCCCTCGGGTGGGTAACGCGCCGAGTGGGTTGTGTGGATCTGACGTAAGATCCCTCGGGAGCAGCCGGACGCTCCACCCCCCAGAGCAACCTGCGCCTGGGTCTCCTGTGTGCCTCCTGCGGTCACGGCAGGAGGTCCGGCGGCCCGCAGCAGCGCTGTCCCTCAGTGGTGTCCACTCACAGAACCCTTCTGTCCTTCGCCTCTCCTCGCTGAGAGAGTGATCACAGTCAGCTGACGGGTGACTCCTCTTCTCCCCTCCTCCCCTCCTCCCTTCCTCTCCTCCCCCCTGACTACCCTCCTCCCCTCCTCCCCTCCTCCCCTCCTCCCCTCCTCCCCTCCTCCCTTCCTCCCCTCCCCCTGCCTTCCCTCCTCCCCTCCCCCCTGCCTACCCTCCTCCCCTCCTCCCCTCCTCCCCTCCTCCCCTCCTCCCCTCCTCCCCTCCTCCCCTCCTCCCCTCCTCCCTTCCTCCCCCCCCCTGCCTTCCCTCCTCCCCTCCCCCCTGCCTTCCCTCCTCCCCTCCCCCCTCCCCCCTCCTCCCCTCCCTCCTGCCTTCCCTTCCCCCTGAGGAGGAAAAATGGCCTTTGGGTCAGCATTAGTTTCTGTGCCCTTACCAATGTAAAGTCCCCGGTTCACACGGATGTTGGCCATGTGACATCTGCTGTGCCTGAGATGAGAGGTCTTAGAATTTGGAGGGTCACCCAGGCTGAGCGGGCCCGTGCAGGGGTGCGCATGTGCACAGGGGTGAGCATTTGAGCAAGGGTGGGCATGTGTGCAGGGGTGATCATGTGTGCAGGGGTGATCATGTGTGCAGGGGTGATCATGTGTGCAGGGGTGAGCATGTGTGCAGGGGTGATCATGTGTGCAGGGGTGAGCATGCGTGCAGGGGTGAGCATGTGTGCAGGGGTGATCATGTGCGCAGGGGTGATCATGTGTGCAGGGGTGAGCATGTGTGCAGGGGTGAGCATGTGCGCAGGGGTGAGCATGTGCACAGGGGTGATCATGTGTGTAGGGGTTATCATGTGTGTGCAGGGATGATCATGTGTGCAGGGGTGAGCATGTGTGCAGGGGTGAGCATGTGTGCAGGGGTGATCATGTGTGCAGGGGTGAGCATGTGTGCAGGGGTGATCATGTGTGCAGGGGTGAGCATGTGCACAGGGGTGATCATGTGCGTAGGGGTTATCATGTGTGTGCAGGGATGATCATGTGTGCAGGGGCGATCATGTGTGCAGGGGTGAGCATGCGTGCAGGGGTGATCATGTGTGCAGGGGTGATCATGTGTGCAGGGGTGATCATGTGTGCAGGGGCGATCATGTGTGTTCAGGGGTGAGCATGTGTGCGGTGGCCTGTTCACCACAGGCCACCACCTTTCACTGGAGTTTATCTAGGGCCAGGATGTGGCTCAGGCGGGGGGGGGGACGGCGCTGGCTGCCCCTTGCAGGGGTCTCTCTCCCCAAACAAATGCCATGAGGGTCTTGAGAAATTACCTCAGTGAGTCCAGTCCCAGGGGCTGCCCGCGTCTGCAGTGGGTGTCTGTCCTGTTTGCCTGGTCCGGCTGCGTCCATCCCTGCAGCACTGCCAGGTTTAAACATCACGGACAGCCCAGACACCGGGCATGGGGGCGTCCACCCCGGGCTCTGCAGGGAAGCCTGGCAGGCCAGTCACCTTTCAGGAGAGTCGGTGGTGCTTCCGGGCCCACAGCGGGCTGCACACCGTGACGGGCGCTGGGCCGTTGGCACAGGGCACAGGCAGCGGTGGCAGTGGCGGCTCCGCAGGAAGAGAAGAGATGAATTTCCTGGCTCAGGATGTGTGGTTCCTGGCGGCTCTTTGGAATTTGATGGCTGCACATCCATCCCAGCAGGGATGGTGGGGCGTGGGGGGGGGCAGGGGTGACAGGGGAGGGCAGGATAGAGGGGTGGGGGGCAGTGCAGAGCGCGACAGCCCAGCTGCCTGTCCGTGTCCGGGCTGCCCGCTGCGGGCCCCACCCTGGCTGGGTCTGGCTCCTATGCCCGCTGTGCCCCCCACCCGCCTTCAAGCTTGACCTCGCGTCCTGGCTGCCTGTCCTCCAGACCTCTCATCTTTAACCGGAGCCCCCACAGGAGCCGGTCACCTTGTTAAGAAGACCAGGGACTTTCGGAGCCAAGTTTCCAGCCCTGTACATACAGGACGGAAGCCCCAGGCTGCGGACAGCGGGGAGAATTCAGTCTTGTGTCCCTACACCTAAAATTAGCGTGGGAAAAAACCCACACCCGTGTCTTCTTTTACCCGAATGGCTTCAATTATACGTTCCTGGCACGCACTGTGCTTTTGCTTGACTGGTACCAGTTCTGCTGACCAGGCTGGGTGCGGCGAGGGCCGGTCAGCTCCGCTTGGGAGGCGTGGGGGGCGCCGTGCAGAACCTGGGGCATCTGCAGTCGCGGTATCGAGCCTTTCTTAAGCACATGATGGCTTTCGGAGCTTCTCCCCCCCCTCCCCCAAAATGTCAGATCCTTTTCAAAGCTGTAGTTGCTCCTCCCTGCAAGGCCGTGCCATCGTAGGGTGAACACAGCTCACCACCGCAGGCGTGGGAGGGCGCGGGGAGATTTGTGGGACCTGTGTCAGGGTGGCGCGTGCGTGGCAGGTTCCCTTAGCAGGAGCGGCGATTCGTGGGAAGGGGGCGGGGGGGGGGGAGGGGGGAAGGGGGTATATCTGATCCTCTCCAGGTCCTTTGATGAAGGACGCCTCCTCCCGCCAGAGAACAAACAGCCAGAGACAGGACTCTTAGATCTAAAAGGAAAAGAGAGGCCAGAGAGGCCTGTCTGCGCTCATCCGCAGGCCCAGACTCTGGAGATACATGCCCCGACACGCCATGAGAAGACGAGGCGATGGTGGATGGCAGGGAGGGGTGGGCCACGGGACAGGCAGCCACGGGAGGAGGCAGAGCAGGCCTTCCCCAGCTCCGTCCCCGTCTCCAGGGCACAGAAACACGCGTTAGGTTTTTTTTTTTGTGGGTTATGGGGCTTGAACTCGGGGCCTGGGCGCTGTCCCTGAGCTCTTTTGCTAAAGGCTATTGCCCTCTACCACTTTGAGCCACAAATGGCAATTCCTGTTTTCTGGTGGTTCATTGGAGAGAAGAGTCTCATAGACCTTCCTGCCCAGGCTGGCTTTGAACCAAGATCCTCAGATCTCAGCCTCCTGAGTAGCTGGGATGACAGGCGTGAGCCAGCAGCACCTGCTGAGCTTTAGGTTTAAATAGACAGAGAATTAACTACTCCCCCGTGAGGGTGTGGCTCGGCTGACCGTCATCTCTGCTTTCGCTGTGTCTTTCTAGAAGCTCAGGTGACCGGCCAGCGGCAGTTTAGAACAGGAGAAAAGCAAATGCACCAAACTTCCTCCTGTGTTTAGTTAATGCAGGGGCCCAAGGGAGGAGTTCCTGCTGTTTAGCAACGGCTACTAACTGCCTGGTACTGTGATAAACTCAGATGGGCCAATGCTTTTACAGGTGATTTTTTTTCTATGGGAACCAGAAGTTTGGCGATCAGCCAGCCCAGGTCTTTCCGCTGATGTTTTAAATGATAAACTACAAGCTGTGGCGTTTGGTGGCAACCAACGTTGAGGTCATGGCTCAGACCTCCTCCTCCTCCTCCTCTTTTAATCTCCTGAGAAGTGGCTCTCCCTTCTGATAATCTTGTTTTTCACCGAGAGGAGGTGACCGGGAGGCAGGGGGGACAGGAGGAGGAGAGAAGGGTGATCCGTCACCCCTCCCCTGCCATTATTGCGGTTTAAAGGTAGCGCGTGGCGAGGGAGGGAGCCCGGAATATTAAAGCGATCCATCACAGCAGAGCCTCGCGTTGCAAACCTCTCCCTTCCCTAATTCGCATGACTGCTGGGAAGAGAGGCGCGTCCCGTTGCCCTTTCTGGTGATTTCCCCCACCCCCTCCCATGATCTCCGTCAGTCTTCCGACACTGCTTAGTTTATTTCCCGCTCCCCAAAGCGAGCGTCTCTCCCTGGCTGTAACCACGCCGACCCCAGAGCTCTGAACTCCAGTCACAGCCCCTGGGGCTGGAGTGCCCTTCCTTAGGACTCTCTATGTGCCCATTCAGGCCCCCTGGCCCACCGGCCCCCTTCCCTGGCCAGGCCTGGGGGCCTCCATACCCAGCTCCACCTCCAGAGAGTTAATCCTCACATAGAGAATGCTGGAAAAAAAGAGCTGGGGAGGTCGAGTCAGCTTCCGGTGCCTTATAGGCTGTTAGAGTCAAACGTTTGAAAAACGGGTTCCAGAATCAGTGGATAAGTAAGAACTTTGAGACACCAAAGAAATAGTGCCATTTCTATTACACATGGGGGGGGGGGCTGCACCGCTAAACGCAAGGCTGGCAGGGTTAATGATGATACATTCTCCTCAGTCTCGAAGACATGATCACGTGCATATTAAAGCCCATTCAGACACGGCGCTAAGGGAGGAGGCGTGCAGAATTGATTCCACAGTGCCTTGGGTGTGAGGAGCCCCATCCCCCCCACGGAGGCTCCCTCTCCGCGAGAGCTGCCCGGGGCCAGCTGAGCCCCTGGGGCTGGG